TAAATCACAGCATTTCTTTTGAGATTATTATTACATGAAAAAAAAAAGTTATATTTTCTCTTTTCTAATTATCTATATTTAATATACATTCAATTTTGTTTATCGTATTAATTTTGAACTGCAGTTGCTTCGCGGTATGAAGGCAGATATCCTGGTATATATGCTTGGTGATGATGTGACCCCTGTTGTTGATTGTTCACAGGATACGGTTGCGAAGGATCATTTGCCACACTTGTGTTATTCCTTGTAACATAACGAATAATGAGGAGAGTACTAAGAATAATGAAAAGAATAATGACTACACAACCAATGGAAATACCAATAATGGCACTAGTGCTGAGATTTACATTAGCCGTCGCATCTGAGGTGCATGTGCTATTAGCATTAGTTCCAGATGAAGAATAGTAGCATGTATTACCCATTATTTGATAAATGTTTCTTATGAATATATATTGTTCAACAAAAAATATATATGTATTGACGTGAATTAAAGCTCGAAATTCGAAAAGAATTTCTTTCATAAATATTCTCACTATTCGGAAGTAGAATCGTTTATTATTAGGATTATTGAGAAAAAAGCAATCAGTACGTAACTATTCACAAAATTTTTTTCCGCAAATCTATTGACTGAATGTAGTTGGAAATTTTTTACTATGTCATAATACCATGTCGTAAATAAACAATCGAAAAGAATTTTGAAAATAGTTACAAAAAAAAATACCAAGTTTCTTAAGTAGAATGTTTGATGGAAGAAACCTACTCAACAACACATTGGAGAGATCATACAAAATAAGCATTATTCAGAAAATGAATCAATCCTAAAACAGAAAAATTTCATGACTTGTTTGTTCTTCGTAACACAGTAGACAAAAAAAAATGAGTGATTGGAAACTAACTTGTAATACTTCAATAAGCTATTTCCTAGACATCTTGAGTTTGTTTTTCCAACTTTTCAGTTGGGTATCACATATAAACGTGTAATTAAACCAAACACCGTGCATTCTTACCTCCGTTTCAGTTAGAAAAATGTTTCATATGACTAGACTCTGTATTTTTATTATGCTCATATTGCTTGAGCTTGTTTTTGTTACGGCAGCACCTTCTCCTCTCTCTAAGGCCGTTACCTTCATGGTTGATAATGAAGGTGCAGCAAACAAAGAAGCGAAAAGTAAGTTTTACCTGTAATATTGTTCTCTACAGTTATGTTATCACGTGATTACCTAAAATATTGTTCGACAATAACTATTGAGAATATCGTTTTTAAGAACCTAATCAAAATTAAGCTGAGACAATAGAAGCTATGAAATAGAGAGCTTATCTATTTTATTCTTACAAATTAAACTATCGTAGATAATGGTTCACCTAAATCAGCGGCAGCAGCATCGTCATCCTCATCATCAGGTTGTTTTGCTAGCGGTACATTAATTACTTTACCCAATCAAAAACAAATTCCAATTGAACAACTTCAATCCGGTGAAGAATTATTAACAACTGATGGATCTACCATTTTCACTACTCAGATGGTGATGATGCTTGACAAAAATAGATTATCACAAGGTAAAATTAATATCAGATATAAATCATACTCTGTCGTATTTTATTTAGCTATTTTTCATACTATTACAACTACATCTGGACATTACGTTAGTCTTACTGAACTTCATTTAGTTCCTATTATCGAAAATGATAATACAATAAATTATATTCCAGCTAAACAGATTAAGATTGGTGATCTTCTTTATGTTATGTCTAATGGTCAACTTGTTTCATCAACAGTTACAAATGTAATTTTGGAAATGAAAACTGGTTTTTATGCACCATTGACCACTAGTGGTAGGAATCAATTGAATTTCATTGATTTTTATTGTTTCTATTCTTAATAGGTACATTATTTGCAAATGGTATTATGACCAGCTGTTATGCTAACGTTCGAAGTCATAGAGCAGCACATTTATCTATGGGCCCATTACGTTTTTATCATTGGTTAGCTCAATTATTATCTATTAATGAACCTTTTGGCCATCAGAATATGGAAAGTGTACATGTTATACCGAAAGTTATGTATGAACTTGTTCATTTCTTGTATCCTTCAGCACTCCAAGTTTCATAAAAAAGACAGAATTATTGATATGTTCTCATTTTTTTTTCATACATTTCATAATATTTATCGAAATAATTATTTAACATTTTTTCACTTAGTTTCTGCCGTTCTTTTTCGAATTTCTTTTATTTAATAGTCAATAAGGTTTGAGTTTGTTTTTATGACACATTTGTTTTTATATTCGTATATCGTAATGATCGACAGAAAAATCAAAAGAGAAAAGAATTCTCTCACAAAAATATAATACTGAAAGTTTTCTTTACATATTTTTGACTGATACCGATGATATACTATACAAGCTAAATGATAAGGATTGTACAATATTATTTGAAGCCTTTCAGAATAACAAAAATACATCATCTTTTGACAATTATTTATTTAATAGGAGCAAATAAATTACGAATAATTGGATCATTTTTACATCTAAAAAGAAATGAATAATGTTAATGTACAAATAGATTTCTATTACAAACATACCCAATAATAAATTCTTCTTTACTCAATTTTTTATCACCACTAATATCAAGTTTACCAATGATTTCTTTTGCACGTTTTTTTGGATGTTGATCACCTTTTCGATCAGTAATACCAGCACGATCATACTAAAAATATTGAGTAAAAATAAAAACGATCAAAATTATGAAGTCTTACAATGGCTGTTATCATATTTTCCATTTCTTTTTGATCAATATGTCCATCTTCTGATTCATCCCATCTAGATAATCAAAGAAGTTAAAGAAATATATAACAAAAAAATAATAACTTCATATATACATATCAAATACAAATGAAAGACGTGATCCCAAATCATTTAAATCATCAATCAAAGCTATAACAATCAAAAATTCATTAAAATCAACTGTACCATCATTGTTGATGTCAATCATATCAAAAATAGCTCTAAATATCATAGTAAAATAGAATTTGATAAAAACGAAAGAGATATATTGATGTACTCGATTGATTTATTTGTTTCTTCTCGTGGACGCAATTTTTTGTAATATTCAACGAATGATTTCTTATCTAATTGACCTGATGGACAATTTTGAAGAAAGTCCTAAAATTCCAAAAAAATAAATATACTGAAAAATACTTTTCAATCAAATATATACCGCATGCCAATGTTGAATTTCTTGAATTAATAATATAAATTACAAATGTAGTGAATTCACATTTATAAACAACAACATTACCTTCTTCGTTAATTTGTGAAGCTTTTATGAGTAAAGACATTTCTAGAATATCTTATGAAATTGAACATTGATCAGAAAAAATAAAAACAAACCTTTTGGAGTTAAGTCCATAGATATACGGCCTTTCGTGTTTTTCGACATTTATCGATTAAAAAAATCAATGTCAAAATAATTGTGTTACTTTTTATCAAAGGGCAAAATGTCTTATCGTTACTTTTTGCTTTCAACTTACATCACACGTATTTAATAGAATTTCATAATAAAATCTAGTAGAAAGAAGTATTAGAAAATCAATATCAAAAATTGTGTCTATAAATATTGCAGATCTTACTCAAATTTCAAATAACCTACCAACAAAATGTTATAGTTTATTATTACAAACAAGAAATCAAAGAAAAAAAAATGTGGAAAAAAAGAGAAAAAAACATTTGATGTTTGAAGAATTTTTCTTTTCTTTCCTATAACAAATAACATCTTAAAAAGATCATCAAAGTAGATTTTTATTGAATACTGTTCTTTTTTTTCTTTTCAAGCAACTCCAATCCATTGAAATTTTAAAACAAAACGATGACGTTCGATAAGCAAAAATCACACAATCAAAGATCAATATTGAATTGAATCGGAATGTAGTATTGTATTATTGATTTAGTTATTCAAATGAAAAAAAAAGATAAGAAAGAAAAAAAATACAAGCAATTCTTATATTTTGATGAAGAACATAATAACGACATTTTTTGTAAGAACAAATATATGACAAACAACATCTGAATCCAATTAATGCATTTCTACAAATAGTTGAAAATCATCTTAAAGAAATTCTTATAATAATTCATTTTGATACTAACTTATTTGATGAAATTTCATATTTCATTATTGTATTTCAGTACTATGAAGCATCTATAAAATCCAAGATGCAAGGAATAACATTGATGATGTGAAATGCGGACACACGTAGGTGTGGATATTTGTCTTTTGTTGCCGACATCAATTCTATACCCCACATCCACACCCACTCATAGTTTATCAAATTCTACAAGTAATGCATCAAAAATAGTCGGCGTAAACAATGGAAAGTTTCCCGTACAAATATCAGGGAGAACACTTGGCCTATGATTTTTAATAGGAAAATATCATTGTAAAATCAAAATTAGTCATTTTTTCTCATTTGAAAATATCCATCTGATGGTAATATCGCGAATTAACGAAATTTGTATTTCTTATTTGTGTCTTGCACAACTGTTTGAAAGTATTCATCATCAAAACCCTATATATGTTAACGTGTTCTATTCTCTTCTTTCATTCACTCGATACAACATCTCCTGTTATAACCAATGTCTCTACTTGAGTACTAGGTGAGCTTTTTCACTATTGCTGACATTATTAACTCATCGTATTATGTTGTTTTCATCCCACTAGTAGAATCATTTGAAAGGATAAAGTACATACTGTAAACATGCTACAACGAAAACGAAATTGGGATGCATCAATCCGTGAATCATTACAAGTATATGTACCTCTCAAACAGGTAAGCATTGAAGCGACGATTCGATCATTCGTCGCGAATATCACAATCACACAAGTGTTTCAAAACGATGAAACAGTGCCAATCGAAGCCGTCTACTGTTTTCCTATCGAAGAACAAGCAGCCGTGTATTCATTTGTAGCACGTATTGATGATCGAGAAATTGTCGCTGAATTAAAAGAGAAACAACAAGCTCAGCGAGAGTATAACGATGCTCTTCGACAACATCATGGTGCTTACTTGCTTGAACAAGATAATAAGTCTCAAGATAATTTTATTATTAACGTTGGACCTTGCCACCGAACAAAGAGTGTCATATAACAATCTCTTACGTTGCTGAGTTGGACTTCATCAAAAATGCGAGCACGATCCGGTTTGTCGTACCAACAACAATTGCACCTTGTTACAATCCAAACAAAGGTGGCATCGATTGACCGGCAAGTACTACAACAGAATAAGTTCAATCAGCTTCATATAGAATTCGATTTCATTGTCTTGCGGAAAAAGCTGGAACATCACGTGTCAGCTCAATATCCCATCCAATTCAAATAGATTTCAACCAAGAAGAGGTGTATACGATTGAATTTGCTCGAGAAAATACTCATTTAGATCGAGACATAATCATGGATATTGAATTAGCCGAAAACCGATCGAATACAATTGTTGCCGTTGAGTCCAGTGCTATCATGGTATCGTTCACTCCTACCGAATATAATTGTCGATTTGTAATGAATGATAGTAACATGACTAACGAGTTTATCTTCGTTATTGACTGTAGTGGATCTATGCAAGATGAGAATAAGATTGGACTTGCTCGTCAGGCCATGTTATTATTTCTCAAGAATCTACCTATTGATTGTCATTTTAATATCATTCGATTCGGCAGTACATATCAGAGTTTATTCAGTGAGATGACGACTATTTACAATGAAGAAAACGCACGCCAAGCTGAACAGTTCATTGATGGCATGAAGGTAAATTTGGGTGGTACAGAATTAGTAAGTTTCATTGCTTTGTTGAATAATACACTGATTTAAATAAATCATTTGTTCTAATTGCCACCTCTTCAATGGCTCAAAGAGAATCCTCCAGTTCAAGGTTATGCTCGTCAAATTGTTCTCCTATCCGATGGTGAAATTTCGAATGTCAATGAAGCTCTTGATTTATGTCGTTCTATGGTCACTTCGACTAGAATATTTTCGTTTGGCTTAGGCCATTCACCTAGTCGTTCGCTTATCAAAGGTCTTGCTCATGCAACAAATGGTCGTTTTGTTTTCATTCCACCAGCTACCAATGTTGACGTATATGTTGGTGAACAATTGCAAAAAGCATTGCAACCTTGCTTTTTCAATGTTCATATTAAGTTGAATTTCGATTCAACACTCATTGATATTGTTCCAAGAAGTGTACCATCTGTCTTCATCAATGATCACCTCATTGTCTATGTTCTTCTAAAAGACGACAAATTAATGTCATTCAATCATGATTTAAGTATTGAATTATACAGCGAAGAAGGTCGTTTATGTGAGGCTAAAATAAATCGAATCCCGAGTGTCAGTGATGATGAAATGATTGCTCGACTAGCCGCAAAAGCTCTCATTTTGGAACTGCAGCACTCAAAACTACCTGCATCTACCAAGAAGGACTTGATACATTCCCAACAAATTCAACTCAAAGAGCATGATCAACAGCCGATGGTAACAACGACTGAACAAAGAGACATGACAAAGGAACAAATACAAGAAAGAATCGTTGAAACATCACTTAAACATCACATATTGAGTCCATACACAGCTTTTGTTGGTATTGAAAAACGCATCAATGCAAGCAATGCTGATATGATCTTACGTGAAGTGCCTATACAAATATCAGCCGATAATGCATATTTGAAATACTTGCAGACAATCATCTCTCAAATGCGTCAAGATCAAGCTAGAGCTCAGATGGAATATGCAAGTATGGCTAAAAGAAGTCAATTTGATATATTCGATAAAGGTAGACAGCCTTTACAGTCTCTTCTCAACAATTACATTAATGTTCAAAGCCGATTTGATCGTACTTCAATGGACAATGATGAAACACGACAACGTTTCGATCGCACTCTCACAGATTATAAAGAAGCACTACATCGTCTAGATGTCAATCGCTGTAATTATGAAGAAGCACTAGCTAGGTCTCACTGCGCTATAAATGATTTTGAAGAAGCTCAGAATCATTTTGATCGCATAGACATGGATCATCGAAAGGCTCACGAGCACTTTGAACACATCGCCGCAAACTATGCTGATGCTCGA